AAACTTGACTGACTCCATGCATGTCATTAAGGCTGACTCTACTGTGAGGACTCAGCTCTTCCCCAGTCATATTTTGAGTGCCTTCCAACCTGTGGAGCTCATTTTCTGGCACTATATCAGACAGTGTTCTCCTGCTATTCATAAGGTTTTCACTGGCCAATTTTTTCAGAAGTAGACATCCAGATTCTTCTTCCTGGTCTAAAGGTCCCCTGAAACACACCAATTGCTAATGCCAAAGAGGGGAATGGAAGATTTTCACCAACTTCCATAGTCTGAAATTGATAAAAATTTTCAAGATGCATTGATAATTACTGGTGATTGACATGTAAAAGTTGGAAGAAAAGAAGAGGGGTCAGTAGTTGGAAAATATGGCCTTGATAATAGAAACGATGCCAGAGATCACATGATAGAATTGTGCAAGACCAATGGCTTTTTACAACATCATAAGTGGCCATTATACACATGGAACTTGCCAGATGGAATACATAGGAATCAAATTGACTACATCTGTGGAGAGACTATGGAGAAGCTCAATATTGTCAATCAGCAGAAGGCTAGGGGCAGACCACCAAAAGACTATGGGAATTGCTGACACACAAGCTGAAGAAAATTAAAACAAGTCTATGAGAGGCAAAGTAAGACCTTCAGAATCCCACCTTTATTTAGAGACCATCTCAAGAAGATATTTTGTGCATTGAATACTAATGACTGAAGACCACATGAGTTATGAGATGACATGAAGAACATTATGTATGAAAAAAAGACAGGAAAGAAAGAAAAGATTAAAAGATTTCAAAGGATGCCTCAAGAAGACAAACTAAAGAATTATAATGAAATGTGCCAAGACCTGGAGTCAGAAAACCAAAAGGAAAGAACGTGCTCAGCATTTCTCAAGCTGAAAGAACTGAAGAGCAAATGCAAACCTCGAGTTGCAATATTGATGGGTTCTATGCAGGAAATATTGAACAACTCAGGTAGCATCAAAAGAACATGGGAGGAATACACAGAGTCACTATACCAAAAAGAGTTGTTCTACATTCAGCCATTTCAGGAGGCAGCATATGATCGAGAAACAATGGTACTGAAGGAATAAGTCCAAGCTGCACTGAAAGGAATGGTGAAAAACAAGGCTCCAGGAATTGATGAAATACCAATTGAGATGTTTTAACAAATGGATGCAGTGCTGGAGGTGCTTACTCGTCTATGTCAAGAAATTTGGAATACAGTTTCCTGACCAACTGAATGAAAGAGATCCATATTTGTTCCCATTACAAAGAAAGATGATCCAACAGAATATGGAAATTATCAACAATATCATTAATATCACACACAAGTAAAATTTTGCTGAAAATCATCCAAAGCAGTTGCCACAGTCCATTGACCAGGAACGGCCAGAAATTCAAGGTGGATTCAGAAGAGGACTTGAAAAGAGGAGTATCATTGCTGATGTCAGATGAATCTTGGCTGAAAGTAGAGAATACAAGAAAGATGTTTATCTTTGTTTTATTTACTATGCAAAGACATTCAACTGTGTGGATCATGACGAATTATGGATAACATTGCAAAGAATGGGAATTCTGGAACACTTAATCGTGCTTATAGGGAGCCTGTACATAGACCAAGTGAAAGTTGTTCTAACAGAACAAAGGGTTACTGCATAGTTTAAAGTCATGAAAGGTGTGTGTCAAGGTTGTATCCTTGCACCCTACTTGTTCAGTCTGTATGCTGAGCAATAATCCCAGAACCTGGCATCAGGATGAAGACTCATTAACAACCTGCCGTATGTAGATGACACAACATTGCTTGTTGAAAGTGAAGAATACTTGCTGCACATACTGATGAAGATCAAAGACTACAGCCTTCTGTATGGATTGCACCTCAGCATAAAGAAAACAAAGATCCTCACAACTGGACCAATAAGCATCATCATGATAAACAGAGAAAAGATTAACTTTGTCAAGGATTTCAATTTATTGGATCCACAATCAAAGCCCATAGAAGCAGCAGTCAAGAAATCAGACGACATGCTGCATTGGTCAAATGTGCTTGAAAATGCCTCTTTAAAGTGATGCAAAACAAGGATGTCAGTTTGAGGACATAAGCCACAGTATTTTCAATTGCTTCATATGCATGTGAAAGCTGGACAATGAGTGAGGAACACAGAAGAAGAATTGATGCCTTTGAATAATGTTGTTGGACAAGAATATCGAATGTACCATTGACTGCCAGAAGAAAGAACAAATTTTTCTTGAAAGAAGTACAATTAGAATGCTCTCTAGAAGCAAGGATGGTGAGACTTCATCTCAAGTAGTTTGCCCACTTTATCAGGAAGGATCTGTCCCTGGAAAAGGACATCATGGTTGGTAAAATGAAACGTCAGCAAAAAAGAGGAAGATCCTTAGGGAGATGGATTGACACAGTGGCTGCAACAATGGGCTCATGCATTGCAAAAATTGTGAGGTGGCACAGGATGGGGCAGTGTTTCAGTCTGTTGTACATAGGGTCGCTAAGAGTCAGAGTTGACTCGATTGTACCTAACAACGCCAACAAGGGTGAATTGTTAAGTATGATTTTACTAGATCAAGATGAGGGAAAAGAATATTTCAGACTGATATGTGCCCTGTAGATAACCAAGTCTCTTTATGATGCAAACACTCTCTGTTCCTGTATTAAACTTCGAAGGTGGAATCTCATAGTCATATATTCTTGTAACTCTAGCCAGTTCACAAATAGGTAAATAAAAACATCATATATTTCCAGGAAAGTTCCTCAGGAATTGATTTTAATTGAAAGAAAATCAGAACAAAAAAAATTTTGCATTTTCATACCAGCTTTATATTTAACAATGGTAAAATGATGTTGCAGTAAAGCAGAACAACCTAAGAGAGACTAAAGTGTGCTTGATCAGCTTCAGTTGAGAAAGGCTCCCTCAGATTTGGAGCTCCCAGTTTCCTCACTTCATCATGATTATGTGTGGCCAGTGCAAAATAAAGGCCTGACTGGGTAACTGAAGGAACAAGCTGGATATCTCCATATGAGGGAACTTTTGGCAACATTAGAAAAACTCACACTTCCAGTCTTGAAATCAACAAATACACCAACCTTACCCAGAGGTTTCTCTATGTACTGAGAAAGTAGTGGGGAGGTGGTCAAGAGATGGGAACAGTTATCCTCCTTCACATATATAAGAAGAAATGTGTCCCCAGACTCGACAACTGGGCCGTTCTTCCTTAGCCAAGTATCCTTACAGACCCCTACAGCCCAGTCCCAAGAGCTGTCCACATCTATCTCCCAGTAGTGTTTTCCGGAGGTGAAGGACTGGGCTCCCCATGTAGCAAAGTACTTAGATGTTTCAGAAGGAAGATGCGCCTCTTGAGGGTCATGTCTAAGCCTCAAACTTCTCACATCTTCAAACAGCATGATATTGTGACTGCTTATTTCATAATTCAAGGAAATGTTCACTGTGGAAAGAAGAGAATAATCCAGTCAAAATCAGTTTTTAAATTCTTACGAGATCTAGCATGTCACTGGAAACCTGACCAAGACTTCAAAGGGCAGCTTGGTTGGAGAATATCATCAGATTCAGGGACTACCAGTATATCTGCAGAATAAACAAATACCTAACCATAAAGATTTTTTACATTTCATTACCCATTAGAAACAGAAGACCTTTCCATAAGGCCAAGTCATGGCTATGAAATTAACTCTAGTGCACCTCCTCAGGGGAAAGAAAATCCTTAGAGATAAATAATTGCTGATCACTTTGCCAGGCATACTATGATATTCCAGTGAAGGAAAGAAATTCCAGTTAAGAAGTAAAAGATCTAAATATACCTTCTTCAGAAGTTTCCTATTAAGAATTCTCTGGCTTTTACTTCTGATTTCATCTCAGGCTTGGTCTTCTTCTACGTGCCAGACTAACCTCCCCGGTTTAGGTCTGTCTGCTATGGAATTCTGTCTACTGTCTCATCAACCACTACCTTGCTATATTCTTGTTCCTCACAAATTCTTATTTTATGCCTTTCATTATTTATATTTATACACAAAATTTTCTAGCTATATCAACTATAATGTACATTGTTACAAACTCAGTTACTAAGAAACTTTACCAGAAATATATTTTAAAAATTAAAATTTGCCAACTGCTACGGATTGATTGTGTTTCCCCAAAATATGTGTTATAAATCCTAATTTGTATGCCTGTGTTTTATAATCCCACTAGGGAATGGGTTGCCTTTGTTGTGCTAATGAGGCAGAATTAGCATAAGATGTGTCTTAAGTCAGTCTTCTTTGAGATATAAAAGAGATTAAAAAAGCAAGGCAGCAAGCAGAGATGGGAGAGGATAGAAACCATGCCAGATGAAGATCATTAAGGAGCAAAGGAATAAGAACTTCTCCAGAGTTAAGGGATAGAAAGCCTTCCCTTAGAGCTGGCACCCTGAATTCAAACTTCTAGCCTCCTAAACTGTGAGAAAATACATTTCTGCTTGTTAAAGCAACTGATTTGTGGTATTTCTGTTATAGCAGCACTAGATAACTAAAACACCAAACCTATCACCATAACTAACTGTACTTTGGTTAAAACTTGAATGCCCTAACTAAATAAGCAGTTCGGTATGACTAAATGAATAACTGATATTTTATCTCAGAACGGATTTAGGAGCTCTTTTTTTTTTTTAGATTTTAAATATACATTTAATTTTTTAAACTGAACTTTTATTTATTGTACTTCAGATGAAGGTTTACAGAACAAAGTAGCTTCTCATTAAACAGTTAGTACACATATTGTTTTAGAACATTGGTTAACAACCCCAGGACATGTCAACACTCTCCCTTCTTGACCTTTAGTTCCCCATTACCACCTTTCTTGTCCCCTCCTGTCTTCTAGTCCTTGCCCCTGGGCTGATACGCTCCTTTAGTCTAGTTTTGTTTTATGGGCCTGTCTAATCTTTGGATGAAGGGTGAACTTCAGGATTGACTTCATTACTGAGCTAAAAGGGTGTCTGGGGACAATACTCTCGGGGTTTATCTCCAGTCTCTGTCAGGCCAGTAAGTGTGATATTTGTGAGTTAGAATTTTGTTCTGCATTTTTCTCCAGCTCTATCCAGCACCCTCTATTGTGATCCCTGTCAGAGCAGTCAGTGGAGGTAGCCAGGTATCATCTAGCTGTACTGGACTCAGTTTGGTGGAGGCCGTGGTAGTTGTGGTCCATTAGTCCTTTGGCCTAATCTTTCCTTTGTGTCTTAAGTTTTCTTCATTCTCCCTTGGTCCCAAATGGGTGAGACCAGTGAAGTATCTTAGATGGCTGCTCACAGGCTTTTATGAGCCCAGACGATACTCACCAAAGTAGATTGTACAACGCATTTTCTATAGATTGGAGAACATATTCTCTATATGTTATGCCAATTGAGCCAGATATTCCCGAGACCATGGTCGCCACAGCACTAGGTGCCCTTTTTGATTGTTTCTGTTTCTCATTGTCTAATTTCTAATTGTCTAATAGATATAGCTTTCATTTAGATTTTTTCATATTATCACAGGGCAACCATGACTATAAATGCCTCTTAGGAGGCTGTTCCCTCCTCAGTCAAGGATTAATCAAGAGGGAAATATTGTCCATAAAAAACCAAACCCACTGCCGTCAAGTCGATTTGAACTCATAGCAACCCTATGGGACAGAGTAGAACTGCCCCATATGGTTTCCAAGGAGTGGCTGGTGGATTCCAACTGTGGACCTTTGGTTAGCAGCCAAGCTCTTAATCACTGCACCACTAGGGCTCCATAGTGTCCATCGAAAATCATTATTGAAGGACACTGTATGGAGTCCCACCACTGGGCTGGCACTCACCTTGGAATTGGTTGAACCTGTCTATCAGGCCAGTGATGGGCCTGGCACCAAGCGCTGGGTTCACAGGCTGAGGCATGTGCAGCTGCAGCAGGGACTCACTCCTGCCAGGGGGAAGAATCAGTTAATCTCTCAGGTGCCAAACGGTTGTCACAGTATTTAAAAAAGACCTCAGCATTCAACTGAAAATATTTCATCAGAACTCCTGATATTGTCGTGTACTTCCATGATCCTGAGATAAGTTTTGCAGTTATTAGGGAATCTTTCTTTTCTTCTGTCCCTGCTTACACCCTCTGATTCTCTTAGGTGCGTGCCTCTCAACTACTGCCTGGAAAAGCTAGTCCATGCACTTTAATATGTTTATGATTTTGAAATCTAAAATCAAACATAGCTATTTTCTAGTGACTTCTGCACTGAACAATACAATGAATACCTCCATGAGCACAGAAAGACAAAACAAAACTAATGTCTGATAGAGTGTAATAGAAAATTATATTCAGTAAAATACATACAAACACATGCACTCACACAAATCCATATACAGATAGGAGATTTAGTATCTCAGTAACTTCATTTTGATAGAAATACTTTGATCTCTTTCCTAGCTCTCATGGTGCTCTAGTTTGCATTGAAGGCCATACTTACCTTGTCAATGTGTCTCCCAAATTCTGAAAAGAAAAAAAAGAAAAATTTAGAATTCTTCAGAAATTGGTTTTTCTGCCCAGTCTGTCTTTGGATTTGGGAAAGTTCGAAAAAACGCTAGACACTCCGTTCTACCACTCTGGATTTTGTACATTCCTTTTCCTTTTCCTCTCTAAAGGAAAATCACAGTAGAACACATTGACAGAAACTAAATTCTTGATGATTAAAGGCACTGAGGGTGAATGAAGACAGAGAAGAACGTAAGTAGGGACTGCATTGCTGCAACCATCAGCTATCTGCAAGGTTGTCTTTTCACAGGAATGGTTCCCAAAGGGTTATGTGCCCCAAGACAAGTGCAATTCAAGTCTAAGACTTCCAAAAAGGAGGACGTGAATTTTTAGCTTTTCCCCTTCCTCATACTTCCCACCTGGAGACTAGAATGCTTATGAATAAGTTGTTCCTTTCTGGTGGATAGAGAAGTGAATTAATGAGAATTTAGAAGAGAAATTACTCTCACAGTTTCACAAAGGTTTGTTGTTCCTGGTTAGGATAGGAGTTGAAGTTTCTATCATACTCACTTGGACAATAACACTCCCCACAGGAGTAGAAGAAGAAATAGGATTTTGGTTCAAAACACCTAATAGAAGTCAAAGATGTGAATTTGAACTAATAGCCTCACTTCTTACCTGGAGCAGCTCCACATCTGGTTTGTGGCACAAATTCAGCAGCTCCTCATGCATTTCTCTTAGGTGTTTTCTTTTTTGAACCATTATGGCTCTGCTTTTCTTGAGTTGCTGAAAAATCTTTTTGCTTTCACTTTTCAGTCCCTGTAAGTGTTCTTTTTCTTCCCTGTAGAGAACTGGATGTAACTTCCGATATTCATCTCTGATCATCTCTCTCCGTAGACACAGATAATCCTGCAGGGACATGGATTTCCTAGATCACATACCCAGGCTGACTTTATCCTTTACCACTTACACGTCATTCATTTCTCTTTGATTCATGATCAAGTACTCCAGCAACCACCTACAAGTAACCTAACTTTATGTCTTTCCATTTACCAGAAACCACACTCATCCCTCTCTTCCTTCCTTCACTTATTTTTCATTCTTTATTAACTATAGAAACCCATCCTTTCCTCAGAACACTTTAATCCACTTCTTAGGTTCCCAAAATGCCTGTAGAAATGTCTTTCAGAGTCAATTTTTTAAATATGTTTTTGTTGTTAGGTGTCACTGAGACGGTTCTGACTCATAGAGACCCTATGTACAACACAATGACACAATGTCTGGTCCTGAGCCATCCTAACAATAGGTTCTATGTTTCAGCCTATTGTAACAATTGCTCTGTCAGTCCATCTCATTTAGGGTCTTCCTCTTTTTCCTGATCCTCTACTTTACAAATATATGTTCCCTAAAATATGAAAGATTACATGTAAAAAGATAAATTTATGATTGATTATTAAATCATATTTCTCATTCTGATCTCTTTGTTACTAATTTAGCCTCTCATTGCAAATCTCCTTAATCCATAGCCTGATCATTCACTCTTAACAAGAATGTTGCCTATTATTCTGAGGATTAGAAATCATCAGACAAAATCTTCCTAAAATTCCTAATCCCAAACCCTCCATCTGATTTCTCCCATAACTATTCCTTGTTGCTGTGGATGAGATTCCTTCCTGATAATAAGAACTTAAGACATCAGGATCTCAGTTTGACCTGACATTTCAGAAACATTAATCCTCACTCCACTGCATGACTGCTGCCAATACCCATGTATTCATTCTCTCCTCACCAAGTCCTTTTCTCTGCCTTTTTTCCCCAGTTTTTCAATGAGTTGAAATTTCTCCTAAATGATCCTATATCATTCTCTAATTACTATGTTATCACTTTTCACCACCACTAGCTCACTTCCTAAATTTCTATTCAAATCTTTTTCTCCCATGGGCATAATTGTATTATCAGTATGAAATAGCTGTAATTCCCAATTACGTACTCTTTAATTTCTAGAATTCACCTCATACAGAATTCTCTGCCTGCCATATCTATTGATGTTTTTAACACTTGTACTTTAAAACTCAGATTGATTGTGAACCTATCTAGAAACTTCTCAACTCCTGACCAAGGATTATTGAACTTCTCCAAATCCCTGCACGTACCTCCATTTTAGAGCTTGTTGCCCTTTGTTCTGATGGACTTTTTCCCCTAGTTCCTGATATACTAAGTTCTAGAAATCCTAACTGTGGATACTATCCTACATAAAAACAGCAGATCCTTTTTTCTATCAACAAATGTACTCACAGAATCTCATGGCAATGATGATTAAAGCTCAAATTCTTAATAGATAAGGTCCCAGCATGTCAGTAACAAGCTGGTTAGGAGGAAAACATGGTCTCATGCTTACCATCCACAGGTTGATTATTCTGCACTCTTCGTTTAGATTTCTCTGATTTTCTTGGATCTTTTCCCATAAAGACCTCATTTGTTTTAAGAGCTTCTCCTGCAAAAACAAAAATAGTAAATTTAAGCACCAAGGGAACAGATATTATAGATTGTAGACCCTAACTGGTGGCCAAACGCAGTGGATGTTACACAAATGTACTTCAGGGAAAGTGGAAGGATCATGTTTCCCTGACTACCCCTGAGAATTATCAATTCTGGGAAAGTTCAGGCTATAAGGCCATGTAAAGTAAAAAATGATTTGCCTAAGAAAACTGACTAACACTTTATGCAATGTAACTAATTTTCCCATAAGCATCTTGCCACAAAATTTGGTTCTATTGATGTTAGTCCCCTGTTGATTCTCTATACTATTATCCTATATGTTTGTCCAATATTACTAAATATGGCCCCAATATAAAAAAACTCATTAAACATGTGGTTTTTGTAGCCAGAAGCTATTTCTGAAAATGTGAGGTTTACGGTGTCCTGGGCTTCATTTTGCATAATCAAAGTAATAATAAAAATTAACTGAATTACCCTCCCACTGGAATGCAATCTCCATGAAGGCAGGTTTACTTGCCTATTTTATTCACAGCTTTATCCTTTCTGCCTAGGACAGTAGCTACCATATGTTAGACTTTCAGTAACGAGTGGATTAATTATCATCATGGTACTCATCTTCCTTATACTCTCTTAGCTCTATTATCCTCTGGCTTTCAAAGGCTTTCAGACGCATCGCTTACCCGGTATTCCTCAACTGCACATTCTATGGAACAGTGTCTGTGAGCCTTGTGCTCCAGAGACTTAGAGCAGAGCAAACAGAGCAGGCTCTTGTTCTCTTCACAGAACATCTTCTTTGTCTCCTTGTGTGTCCCACACATCTGTTCCTCAGAGCTCAGGAACTGACAGAGACTGTGTTGTCTGGCAAGGAACACCAGATTCTTCACAAGAATACTGGATTTGATGTCTGTCTTCTTTGATGTTTCCCTGCACACAGGGCATTGGGAAGTTTTGGCTTCTTCCCAGGAAAGGCAGAGACAGGGCCTACAGAAACTGTGCCCACAGCCTATGGTGACGGGGTCTGTAAGGTAGTTCAAGCAAATGCAGCAGGTGAGTTCCTTTTGGAAGGCTTGGGAGATGTCGAAGTCCATTTTCCTAAGGAAAGAAAATGAGAAGAGTTTATCTGCCCCACAGACTCAAAAGACTAAGCAAATGTTTACTCCAGTTGTGACTCAGTAATATACTTATGTCTAGGCTGGATAGAGTTTCTTTTACCAATGACAAAAATTGGAAACTGAGGCACAAAGACAGCTCTCAAGCTCTGTTGAAAACTGTTGGCTTCCTAATCAACATGCATTTACAGCATCAACTCCTTTTCTCCTCCATAAAAGAACCTCAGTTTGTGTCCTTTCCTTCTTGGGTTGGAGCTTCAGTAGTTTAACACAATCTATATTATTCTGATTGGTATAAAAATCAATCGTAATGTTCCTAGTCACTGACTGGTTTAGCAAAGGTCAAGCAACTAAACCTTTTAACCTCTATTATTTCATTTAATTGACAAAATCATTCTACCATGATGACTTACCCAAAATCACACTGCTAGTTAATGTTGGAGGCAGAACTCAAACCTTCAACTAAAACTAAAATCAGCTAACCATTACTTTCCAAGATACCACACAGGCAAAATCAGTCATTTTAATTTAAGTGAACACGTCTGCTATTTTACTGTGCCAAGACTGTCTATGAAGTTGGGATATAATTCTAATACAAAATGCTTATAAGTATGTATTATGCATTAGAAATACATACATGCTGAACATATTCACAAAACCAAAATTTCTCCTTGGAAATTCTTTGTTATTCAAACAGAACGCAACAAAAAAAATCAGTTTCTGAATACGAAAGTGTTAATAAGAATTAAACTAAGCTTTGTAAAATTGGATCAGATTTCAATCAGAACCTTTATATACGAACATATATGAAGAAGCCCTTGTGGTGCAAAGGGTAAGCACCTAGATGTTAACGGAAAGGTTGGTGGTTCGAACCCACCCAGTGACTACTCAGGTAAAGGACCCGGTACTCTGCCAAGAAAACCCTATGGGGCAGTTCTACTGTATCATGTGGAGTTTCTATGAGTCAGAATCGACTCGACACCTCCCAACAACAAGCTTTTAAAATATCTTATTATCTACACTGGGCATTTAAACAAACCAAAAATTAAAGAGACTAGTGATATCTTCCACGCCCTTTCAACCTATTAGCAAGCACCCCTTCACACTGTGAAAAGATGAAAGTATCATGTAATAGTGAAAATCAGTGCCAAATAGCTGTGCTTTTAAAAATTAATTTAGTTAAAACATTGGGTTCTCATTTTTACACTCAATGAGTATAAATGGCACTCACGTTTCTGATATTCCTGTATGGTCAGCAGTGACAATTTTGTACCCAAGAATTTCCTGGCTTCTTTAAAATTTAAGTCAGTAAACAAAATTTTCTAAAGAGACACTTAGCAGGATCAAAAATAGTTTTTTTTTCCCCCCAAACCAATCATTGCATTATATACTTGTAGAAGAATATTCCTCTTATGTATACATGTATGCACTACTTTTATAACAGTAGTTTATGAACTTCATATAGAATAAAGTACTTTTATTCCTTTTTCTGAAACCATGGTGGCATAGTGGTTAAGAGTTCGGCTGCTAACCAAAAGGTCAGCAGTTCAAATCCACCTGGTGCTCCTTGGAAACCCAGTGGAGCAGTTCTACTCCGTCCAGTAGGGTCATTATGAGTTGGAATTGAATCCACAGCAACAGGTTTGGTTTTTTATTCCTTTTTCAGGAACCATACCAAGTACAAAATTACAAGATATCTGGCAACTACTTTCTGAGTCCTTCTAATCAATGTGAACATCCAAGGCATACATAAAAATAAGACAAAATTTAATCACCCCATTAACTCCACTATATAAGAATATTGACATCATAGATTAATTCACATGTAGGTTAAGGAAAGGACTAATTTTTATAAACGAGGCAAATGAAATCATTACATAGAAAAACACCTCAATTTCGTGACCAATAAACTAAAATTATTATTATTATTTTCTTGTTTTCAGAAAGTAGCAGGAACTCCACTTCCGTAAATTGTGTACTCACCTAACTCACTTAAACAATATGTGAAGGGTTTCACTAATGCTTGCGGAGAAGTAGTGTTATCGAAGTCAGTTAAGGGATCAATTTCTCCCGGTGAGGTTGAAGTAGCTTTCAGAAGACTCCACAGGCAGGAGAGTTCCAGACTCAGTCTGTCTCTTCTGGAGGGAGAAGAGTGATTGTGGTTCCTTGGATGCCTTTTATAGAACCCTGAAGACCACACCCAATTGTTCCCAGTGATTGTATTTCATGGGTCTTCCAATAGGTGTTACTGGGAATGATTAGGTTTTTTCAAAACAAAAGAAATGATTGATTTAATACCTTGATAATCTCCATAAGTAAGCAAATCTCTACAAACATTATCTCATCAAGAAATACCCATTAACTTTTGGCAAACAGGGCACAGGTCTGGAAAGTGGGGTAAGATGGTGGATACAGATGCTCAAGAGAATGTTTTGTGGAAGGTGACAGTGTCTACTGCCCCAAATTCTTGCAGCTTTAGTCGAATGTCGGCTCAGAGGCAGGTGGTAGACCTGGGAGACAGTGTGAGGGCTGCCGGGGAGGAAAAGGATTTCTTGAAAACTGTGGAAGGGAAGGAGCTGCAGAGTGTGAAGCTCTCAGAAGCCCCCAAGCAGTTTGTCATCCCTTTGATTCAGAATGGACATTGCAGGCAGCTACTGACCCAGGCACCTGGACATCCAGAAATACTGAGGGCTTGGTGGATGGGGTGCTGATGTCCCAGGCCATGAAAGAGCTGATTGAGGAATCCAAGAAGTCTCTGGAGGAAACAGAGAATGAGGGTGTCGACTCCAGAATCGCTATACCCATGATCCAGAAAGGATGCATCCCCACAGGGGAAGGGGCACACAGCGAACTCCAGGCTGAGTCAGTGCCAGAGGAGGCAGATCATGAGGGAGTCTCTGTGGAGGCCTATGGGCTGTCCATGCTGTAGGGCATGGGCGGGAAAGCTGGCAAGGGCATTGGGCACACCTTCGATCAAGCAGTGAAGCCCCATGTCCACTCACAGATGCCCAATGGGTTAGTGCTGTGTGCCAGCCTGACCCAGGCCAAGGCCCCCACTGGCCCCCGCTGACTGCCAAAGCCAGATGAGGTACAAAAGAAGGAAAAGGAAGACCAACCTCAAGGACTGGGGCCTGGAGGAACTGTAGTGGTCCTGTTTGGCCCCTACCAAGGTGTCTACAGGAAGGTTGAAGGCCTCGATCCTGACAATGTTCGGGCCATGGTTCTTTTGACAATGGTGACCCTAGCAGTGACTGTTAGTGAGTACTGCCCACGGCCTGTCTCCCAGCAGAAGTTTGGCAAGAACTTCTTGGATCTCAGCCAAGTGAGCAAAACTTCCTCAGAACAATGGAACGGAACTGCCTTGCAATGGAAGGCCCTCCAATATTGGGACCTCGGTGTTCAGCAGGAGGACTCAGAGAGGAAGCGGAAACACTCTACAGACCAACCGGATGGGCCGGCAGTCAAAAGGGAGGATGCAGCTCCCAGGAGTTGGCACTTATTGGTAGAGATCTGCGTGTGTGGTTTGTGGACAAGCTGCATAAGGGCGGCCAGTTTTACAACACCAAGATGACAACTGAAGATATCCTGAGCCCAGATACTTGTGTGTCAGACCCAGATTCCCAAGGTCAAGGGCAACTGTGTGATGGTGGTGCTGGGACCACAGGCTGGAAAGGTGGGACCACAGGCTGGAAGGGTGGGACACCTACTGGACCAAGACACAGAGAGGAGCCAGGCTTTAATACAGCCTCGGAGAGACAATCGGTAGAGCTTCACTAAGATGATGTCTGCTAGTACATGGGCCCAGGGACTCAGATGGAGACTGACCTGTGTGACCCACTCCAGTCCCCCAGACTCTTCCCAGTTCCCTACAGCATAAAAAACTTGTTTTCAGTAATATTGGACTATAATGTTTTGCGCCTAGCACTTGCAAGTGCTGTACTGGTACAGGAACGAGGACAAAGATGAATGGACCAGAAGTGATGCTAGAAACAAACCCAATATTCACCGGAATGTAATATATAATAAAAATCATTTCAAATAAAAAAAGAAATATTAACTTTTCAACAAATAAACCCCCACATCCCAACTTACATATATATATATACTTTTTTTTTTTTTACTGAGGACTTTTATTTTTAACAGTTTAAAAAGGTAGAAAAGAGGATGTCATCAGTTTATGATTTTAGCAAATGTCTTGGAAAATTTGGAAATGGTTTGTTTGCCTGAGGTTGGCTTAATTATAGTCTGTTAACTAGAACAGTTATATTTTATTTACTGACTTATTTTTTCTATTTTAATGCAAGAATTGTATGTAAGGCAGGCTTTGGCCTCCACTTCAGAATGGAGATTTCTTCTGCTCTACATACTCCAGATCAAGCCTCCAAGGGCTCAAGAGCAACACCAGGACCAGGATTCTCCATCTGGCACTTCCCATCACAACTCAGGGGAAACAGGAAAGAAAGGTTGGGAAGCCCCAGCTCAGGAACCCTGAAAAGGGATGAGAAAGAGGAATTGGGTTTAGGTAAATTGGATTTTATTTCTACTTGAGAAGGTAATAATGACAGGTTTATGTCTCCAATCCATTTAGTCCACTACTGATAGGGTGAATTGAGATGCTACCCTGGACCCTTGAGAAGCCCCTCTTCTATTACAATTGTCCCCATCTATCCTTCCTGGGGTCTGGGAAAGCCAAGCTGTGGATCTGGAGAAGCAGCTCAGAGCTCTGCACAGGCGTGTTTAAAGCATCTTCTTGTATGCTCAGAGATTCTGGTGCCCACAACAGCCTGAGTCAGGTGAGAGCTGGAGAGAGGCTCTGAGGAGCAAGGGTCACTGTCAGGAAGAGAGAGGGAAGGAGGGAGCCCCAGTTTCCTGAATGTCCCATTTGTGTGTGCAGGAATCTCAGTGAGCAACCAAAAGGCCACCAAAGCTTTGCTTGAGTCCTCTGAAATTTTAGGTTTGCCCTGAATTGAGCCTTTCAGGGATAGGACAAGAGGTGAGGTCCAGCTCTAGGGACAGAGGGCAGAGACTCAGCAGGGAGAGTGTATCTACGTTAAGGTGACCAGCTAAGCTCATGTCTAGCTGCATAAAGGGTAGAGGGAGTAGACTGGGGAGTGACATTTTGGAGCCTTTGTCTTAGTTATCTAGTTCTGCTATAACGGAAATACAAATGGATGGCTTTAACAGACAGAAGTTTATTTTCTCACAGTCTAGGAGGCTACAAGTCCAAAATCAGGATGCCAGCTCCGGGGGTACATTTCCTCTGTCTGTTCTGGAGGAAGGTCCTTGTCATCAATCTTCTCTTGGTCTTGGAGCTTCTCTGCACACGGACCTGGGTCCAAAGGGTCTGCTCTACTCCTGGCACAACTTTCTTGGTGGCATGTGGTCCCTCTGTCTTTCTGCTAGCTTCTTTCTTTCATATCTCAAAAGTGATTCACTTAAGACACAACCTAATCTTGTAGAATGAGTTATGCCTCATTAACATAACTGCCTCTAATCCTGCCTCATTAATATCATAGATGCAGGGAAATCACATCAAAAATGAAAACTTTTTTTTCAGTGCCTTGTAGAATTTCCTTATTTATTTTAAATTGTTGTACTATAAGTGAAAGTTTACAATTCAAGTTAGTCTCTCATACAAAAATTTATACATACATTGTTACGTGACCCTAATTGCTCCCCTATACTGTGACAGCACACTCCTCCTTTCCACCTGATTTCCTGTGTCCATTCAACCAGCTCCTGACCCTCTCTGCCTTCTCATCTCACCTCCGGACAGAAGCTGCCCATCTAGTCTCATGTATCTACTTGAGCTAAGAAGCACACTCTTCACAAGTATCCTTTTATGTCCCATAGTCCAGTCTAATCTTTGTCTGAAGACATGGTCTCAGGAATTGTTTTAGTTCTGCGTTGGCAGAGAGTCCAGGGGCCACAGAAAACTTGTTTAAGGTTCTTTTATTATGGGGATGCACTCAATTTCTGACAACTTTATTAAGACAGCATTTTTCTTATTTTAAACCTTATCAATGTCCACATTATTTATCTTATTTTCTTTTGTATTAAAGGGTTTTCACCAGATTTGAAGGAGTCCTTTATTCAAACGATTCCCTGGAGCAACATAAGCCTCAGAGGATGGGGGCCAAGGAGGCTTGATGCTGCCCCACAATCCCTCTCTGAGGCTCACTGTCTGGAAGAACTAGTCAATCTCAATTTATTTGTTGTTGTTATTTGCTGTGCAATGGATTGCTTTTGTGTGGCCTTTATTGCCATGGTCTTGCTACTGCCACCTAAGTAATTGGGTGGGACCATGTAGATAAGGTAATTGTGGCCCACCAAGGGGATTGGTCAATTTTTTTTTTTTGGCTTTAAAGAACAGGAATTTATTTTCTCACAGTTCTGTTTTTTTTTCTTTTTTTATTGTGCTTTAGATGAAGATTTACAGAATAATAGTCTCTCATTAATCAGTTAGTACGCATATTGTTTTATGACAATGGTTAACAACCCCACAACATGTTAACGTTGTCCCTTTTCAACCTTGGGTTCCCTATTACCAGCTTTCCTATCCTCTCCTGCCTTCTAGTCCTTGTCCCTGGACTGTTGTGCCCTATTAGTCTCATTTTGTTTTATGGGGCTGTCTGATCCTTGGGTGGTTGGTGAATCTTGGGAGTGACTTCATTACTGAGCTAGAAGGGTGTCTGGGGGCCGTATTCTCAGGGTTTCTCGTCTCTGTCAGGCCTGTAAGTCTGGTCTTTTTTTGTGAGTTAGAATTTTGTTCCACATTTTTCTCCAGCTCTGTCCAGGACCCTCTGTGATGATCCTGGTCAGAGCAGTCAGTGGTGGTAGCCAGGCACCATCTAGTTGTACTGGACTCAGTCTGGTGGAGGCCATGGTAGCTGTGGTCCATTAGTCCTCTGGACTAATCTTTCCCTTGCGTCTTATTTTTTTCATTCTCCCTTGCTGCTAAAGGGGTAAGACCAGTGTAGTATCTTAGATGGCTGATCATAGGTTTTTAAGGCGATTGGTCAGTTTTGATATCCCGCTAGGCTGAAAATGGGCCATCCCAGAGGCAGGGGAGAGATTTCACAACCACCACGAAAGAATAGCCAGGATTCGATCATGTCTTTTGGACCTGGGATGCCTGTGCTGAGACGTTCCCGGACCCAGGAGATATAGAGAGAGCTGTAACACTGGAGGTGGCAAGATAGTGAGAAGCAGCAGCAGAGAAACATCACCAGTAGAGGTAGCAGAACCAGGAGACTGGCAGGAGAAATTCATATCCATATATATATAGTATGCCGAAGTTGAGACTCATTTGCACCTGGAGCAGTGGAAAGTAGATGTGATTTCTGCCAGAATAAATACAGACATTTCCTGGAAACCAGTGCCCAAATTTAGAGGGCACTGATTGTATGGAAAGTTCATTCAAATGAAACAGTTAAGTTCTTATTTTAAATTTTTATTTTTATTTTTTGAATTCAGAAATAAAAAATATCATTGACAGCTATGAGTTAAATATATAGACATAATCAATACTGCCCACATGACTATGCCAACTGTAGCATTGGAAATAACCAATTCCTTCCTTCAGGGAGTGGGTAAGAGAGATCCCAGGATTTGGACAATTTTCTTAAAAGCACCTATCCTATCTCCCATCAAATATTTGTCAACCCAATATCAGTGCAGGAATTCAGAGAGCTCAGCAGAGAAGGTAGAGGTCACAGATTTATGTGTCCTCTTACCAACTCTACCAATTCCACATTTCAGGAGTACTCAGTCTAATCTAGAGTGTCCCCACTGCCTAGACATCTTATTGTTTATTCCAAGAGCCTTAAAAACATGGAATTCGTTGGGAGACGGGTGGTACTGTGATAGGGAGCCCAATACTGGCTCAGTCTTCTAGTTATTTTCCCAAAAAGACACCCTTGCCCCCAACTTCAAGTTCCCTTTCTGCCAACCTCTCGTACTTTGTATTGAGGTGGAGGAAGGGAAAAGAAAGAAGAAAAACAGGAAGGAAATAGGAGAGGGTCTCTCGCTTTAGGATCCAACTCAGTTGGAGTCTGAGTCTTCTGAGGAAGATGAGCTGGAGTCGCTATCCTCATCCTCACTGCTGGTGTCTGAAGAGTCACTACCTTCCTCCATTTCCACGTCTTCGTTCTTATTTTCTGCTGATCCCTGTGAAGGATGATGATTGACCTGAATAGTCTCTGGCGAATCTGTGCCTGGAACTTGCAGCTGCTGCTCCCCTCCAAGACCTTCTTGCAGGCCCTTAACTGACAGAGACTGCAGCGATATCTGTCTGAGTTTGCGCATATCCTTGCCCTTAGAATAACTTGTCTCTCTGTATGCTGCATATTCCTCAGGAGACAGTCTCTTGAGCCAGAGATCCAGGTCCACCCTGTACTGTTTCTGCAGCTCCTCAGCCAGGTTCTTATAATGGTCCTTCAGGGTCTGTGGGACGCGCTGCCAGCGTCTACCAATCTCCACCATGCGCTGTCTCATGGGCACGTGTTGCAGCTCCCTATTTGACCACATATCCTGGTGGAACTTGTGGTATCCATTCATGGGGGGCTTCTCAGGCTCTCCATGGAATTTCATCACCTTGGGGAAGTCACTAGTCTCCATCGAGGACCTCATTTTGTTCATATTTCCCTGACAACTCTTTTGGGTTTGAGTTTGGCGCCTCTTAGGGACATCGGATTTCTTGCAGTTCTGGATGAGATCAGGGTGGTCTTTCTTGAAACGATCCAGTTTTTCTTTAAATTCCTGTCTCTCCTTCTGGAAATCTTGAATATATTTCAGTTTCATCTTCTCTGGAAGCTCTTTGTATTTCTGGGATAGAACCTTGGTCAGTTCCTGGTTGCTCAGCTCAGGGTGCATCTGGGAGTACTGGGAACACTTGTCCTTGAAGAAGCGGAAATAAGCAGTCAAAGGCTTCTTGGGGAAGTCTGGATGATTCCTGAATTTTTTGTTTTTGGAGAGCTTTTTAACACGTTCCTGAGCTTCCAGGACTAATTCTTTCAAAGTGCGAGACTTCCTCAAATTATAAGAAATCTGTAACCATTTGTTTTTGCACATTTCTCCAGAAAAATCTCTGAAAGCTACCTTTTCCCAGTTCATATGTGACTGGGTTGTTTTGAACTTTTGCTTATCATTGGGTGGGAGGTTATTCTCCATGCATTCCAGTAACATCAGGACGTCTTCTTCAGACCAGTGGGCTTGGCCTTTACACGATGACATTTTTAGGTCTTTGGACCACTTTTATGGCCCTAGCTGTCCAGAAACCTCAACAGGAGCTCAAACTTCTTCACTCTCAAGATTCAGCAAGTGAGTTATTTCTTCAAGTCCTGCAGCATGTGTGATAGATAATATGGTCCTAAAGAGAAGGAGAAGAAAAATTACTCTTCATGGAATGAATGAGAAAAACATACGCTACTTGAGATATATTCTTTGTGTGATTTAACAGTATAAATAAAAACTCACCCAACCTCTGAGTTTAAATTTACACTTAGTTTTCAGACGCTACATCTGCACTTGTCCTCTTATTCCAGTACGCCTTCTACCAAATCTCACCAGATCTTCACTAAACAGAGTCAAGGAAAATGATTGACCGCTCACTCAAGAGGCTTGGGATAAAGGAAAGTTCCAGGGAAAAGAAATAAAAGGATTAAAATAAAAAGAGAAATGGCTAAAAGGGAAATGATTTTCACTCTATACTGCCCTGAGAGTGGCCACCTTCTACATGGAGTCAGGTAGCCCTCCCACTCCCCACTAGAAATGCATTCCATTGTGAAATTTTTTTATTATTTGCATATCAAAACTTGAATCTGAATTAAGTGACTAATTTATGGATTCCTTTGGACTCTGTGCTTGACAATAAATGCTTTCTGATGAACCGTACTGATTCTTTCTCCAAATGGAAAGGATTCAATGAGAATTATATAACATTTGAAATATTTATTTGGTTAACTGTTACTTTTAAGCCTCAGTCAAAGTTTTACATCCTCTAGAAAACACTTTCAAAATACCTGACACTTACTGGAAAGTAAACAAATGTCAGATCTGATTCCTCTTATTTTTCCTCATCTCAATCTATCCAACCAGTTAACAAAATAACATTGACAGAGTGGAAAAACTATTAAAAGACCGTAAAGATAGATGTTATCCATCAGGAAAGTAGGGAACTTACTATAAAAAGAGGGTTTAAGAGATTTTAATGAAGAGCCTCCTCACAATGTTGTGCGAAAGTTGAAGAGAACCCACAAGGGGTTGAAGCACCCAAAGCTCAGCAACAGTGGGAAGTTACTGCCACCCTTATACCTGAAGGTGGCAAAACAACTCTAAATTGAGGGATTAACGGATATGCTTGTAAATCCTAAGAAAAAGCTTTCAGTTCAGAGAGTTTGAGAATGAGTTTGTGATAAGTTTAGTGAAAGTCAGAGAACAAGTCAGAATTAATGAGATTGAGAGTAAAGCACTAGACGTCAACTTATTTGAGGAAAAATCAGATAAAAGAATTCAAAAAATGAAGAAACTCTAAGAATTAAATGGGACTCTGTCAAGAGGAATAACCTATGAGTGACTGGAATACTAGAATGGAGATAACAGAAAATGCAGAGAATTGTTGGCAGAAAACCTCCCTGATACCGTGAAAGATAAGAAGATATCTATCCAAGAAGCTCATCGAACCCCACACAGGGTAGATCCCAAAAGACAGTCACTAAGACATATTATATTGTATTCAAACTTGCCAAAACCAAAGATAGAGAATTTTAAGACTGACTAAGGATAAACAAAAAGTCATCCACAAAGGAAAGTCAATAAGAATAAGCTTGGACTACTCAGCAGAAACCATGCAGGCAGGAAGGCAATGGGATGACATATACAAAGCCTTGAAGGAAAAAAATTGCCAGCCAAGAATTACATATCCAGTAAAACTGTCTCTCCAATACGATGGTGAAATTAGGGCATTTCCAGATAAACAGAGTTTTGGGAATTTGTAAAAACCAAATCAAAATTACAAGAAACAGTAAAGGAGGTCCTCCACTTAGAAAATCAATAACATCAGATAACAACCCAAGACTAGAATACAGGATGGAACAACCAGATATCAACCCAGATGGAGAGGCCACAAAAATAAATCAAAGCTAAAACACTGAAAATAAGAAAACAGAGAAGTCGATATATAAAAGATGAAAACATTAAAACAAAAAAGAGTGACTAAATAATGTGGTCATAGATCTTTCATACGGAGAGGAAGTCAAGGTGATATCAAGAAATAAAAGATTGGTTTAAACTTAGAAAAACAGAACTAAATATCAAGGTAACCACCAAAGAAACTAACATTCTACCCATCGAAATAAAAAACAAGAAAAACATAAAGACTCAGGCAATACAAAATCAACAACAATGAAAAAGATGAAGAGAAAATACATAAAGAAAAATGACTCGGCACAGAAAATTCTGTGGAAAAAAGAAACTGTCAACAACACACAAAAAAAGACATCAAAATGAGAACACTAAATTCATACTTATCAATAATTACGCTGAAGGTAAATGGGCTAAATGCACCAATAAAGAGACTGACAGTGGCAGAATGGATTAAAAAACATGATTTGTCTATATGCTGTCTACGAGAGACACACCTTAGACTGAAAGACACAAACAAACTAAAACTCAAAGGATGGAAAAAAATATATCAAGCAAACAACAATAAAAAAAGAGCAAGAGTGGCAATATTAATCTCTGACAAAATAGACTTTAAAGTAAAATCCACCACAAAGGAAAAGGAAGGACACTATATAATGATAAAAGGGTCAATATACCAGGAGTACATAACCATAACAAATATTTATGCACCGAACGACAGGGCTCCAAAATATGTAAAAGAAATTATGACAGCATTGAAAAGAGAGATAGACAGCACCACAGTAATAGTAGGAGACTTTAACACACCACTTTCGGTGAAGAACAGAACATCCAGAAAGAAGCTCAATAAAGACACAGAGGATCTAAATGCCATAATCAGCCAACTTGATCTCTTAGACATATACTGAACACTCCACCCAACAGCACACAATAATACTTTCTTTTCCAGTGCACATAGAACATTCTCCGGACTAGACCACATATTAGGCCACAAAGCAAGCCTTAACAGAATCCAAAACATCCAAATATTGCAAAGCATCTTTTCTGACCATAAAGCCCTAAAAGTAGAAATCAATAACAGAAAAAGCAAGGAAAAAAAAAATCAAATACATGGAAAGTAAACAACACCTTGCTCGAAAACTACTGGGTTATAGAAGAAATTAAATATGGAAGAAAGAAATTCACAGAATCAAAGGAGAATGAAAAGACATCCTACCAGAACCTTTGGAACACAGCAAAAGCAGTACTCAGAGGTCAATTTATAGCAATAAATGAACACATTCAAAAAGAAGAAAGGGCCAAAATCAAAACATTAACCTTACAACTTGAACAAATAAAAACAAAGCAGTAAGAGAAGCCCATGGGCATCAGAAGTAAGGAAATATTAAAATTTAGAGCAGAAATAAATGAAATTGAGAATAGAAAAAGAATTGAAAGAGTTAGCAAGACTAAAAGCTGGTTCTTTAAAAAGATCAACAAAATTGATAAACCATTGTCCAAACTGACAAAAGAAAGTCAGAGAACTGAAACTTATAAACTGCAGGGAAAACAAAGATATTCCAAGAAAAAGGAAATATAATTACAGTATACCCTCTGGCTCACCTATGGTTTTCCATTTACGCAGAGCAAATAATTGGTATAATAATAATAATGCACGTATGTCTTCCGTCACTCACCTATAATATAGAAAATGTCCTTCCTGTAACTCATTGTTAACAAATGCCTGAGAAATATGTACATGAAAAACATAATCACAAAACCAAAATTTCTTCTTGGAAATTCTTAGTTCAAACAGAATGCAACAAAAAAATCAATTTCTGAACACAAAAGGGTTAACAAGAATTAAACTAAACTTTGTAAAACTGGATCAGATTTCAATCAGAATCTTTATATACTAATATATTTGAAGGAGCCCTGGTGGTGCAAAGGGTAAAGCACCTGGCTGCTAATGGAAAGGTTGGTGGCTCGAAGCCACCCAGTGACTCCTCAGGAGAAAGACCAGGGAAATCTGCCAAGAAAACCTATGGGGCAGTTCTACTCTATCATGTGGAGTTACTATGAGTCAGAATCCACTCAACAGCTCCCAACAACAAAAGCTTTTAAAATATCTTATTGTTGACACCGGGCGTTTATGCAAATGAAAAATTAAAGAGGCTAGCAATATCTTCCACGCCCTTTCAAACTATTAGCAAGCACCCCTTCACACTGTGAAAGGATGAAAGTATCATGTAATAGTGAAAATCAGCACCAGATAACAAACTGCGCTTTTTAAAACTGATTTAGCTAAAAAATTGGGTACTTATTTTTACATTAAATGAATAGAGATAGCACCCTTATTTCTAATATTCCTGCATGGTGACCAGTAACAATTTTGTGCCCAAGCATTTCATGGCTTCTTTAAAATTTAAGTCAGTAAACAGAATTTTCTAAAGAGACACTTATCAGGATCAAAAACTTTTTTTTCATTGCATTATATATTTATAGTAGACTATTCCTCTTACCTATACAAGTATGCACTATTTTTATTGTAATACATTTACGAACTTCGTATAGAATAAAGCACTTCTATTCCTTTTTTAGGAACCATACCAAGCACAAAATTACAAGATATCCAGCAACTACTTTCGGAGTCCTTATAATCCATATGAACGTACAAGGCATACATTAAAATAAGACGAAATTTAATCACCCTATTTATTCCAATATGCAACAATATGGATAAAATAGATTAATTCATATACAGGTTAAGGAAAGAACTAATTTTTATAAACTAGGCAAATAAAATCATTTCATAGAAAAAAACCTCAATTTTCTGATTGATAAACTAAAATTATTTTTAGTTTGTTTTGGTTTTGGAAAGTAGCAGGAACTCCTCTTCTGTAAATTGTGAACTCACCGAAGGAATATGCGAAGGGTTTCCCCAATGCTTGCCGAAGAAGTGGTGTTATGGAACTCAGTCCAGGGATCAGGTCCTCCTGGTGTGGTAGCAGCCGTTTTCAGAAGACTCCGCGGGCAGGAGAGGCAGTCTGTCTCTTCTGGAGAAGAGTGAGCTTCGTTCCTTGGATGCCTTTTATTTAACTCTGAAGACCACGCCCAATTTT